TGTTTCATGTTCACTTGAACGTAAAAGAGACAAAAAAAAAAATGAAAAAATGAAAAAGTATGAGCCTTAATGCTTCTTGACTCATAGTATAACCGATATAAAGATAAACGAAAATGAAAATGAAAATGAAAATGATCATGATCATGATCACATCGAGACTTTGTCGAACAATTAATATAACAAGAAGTTTACATTTTATTATAAAATTTTCATCTGGATTGAGTTTGAACACCTGGAAGGCAAAAAATCAGCACTTAATATAAAAGGGAAACATAAATATATTATTCTTTGTATTATCGTCTTTTGATAACACACTCAATGAATTGGTTTAATATAAAAGTTATAGAATATGAAATTGGATATCTGCATCTATAGAATTAAAGAAAACAAATAAAATAATTTCAATTAAATTTAATTATTGTCCTCTCTATTAAATCCAGAGTGTAAATAATAGCAATAACATTTGACTGTAAATAATACAATGATTGAATAGGTTTTTTTTTTTTAAATTAAATATTACAATTTAACTATTGCTGAACAAATACAAATACATTAAATAAATATTCAAAACTCCCATTATTATCTATAGCTTTCCTTGACATTTCGTTTTTCTACTTATCTCTAAATTATCCTCTTTTATCTGATCGGTTTATCGATATCCATGCATTTATCCATACTTTTCTTTTTGTTTTCATTCGATTTCTTATACGTTTAATGTCGTTATTGTTATTCATAACATTACTGCGATACATTTGAACAATATATAGGCAACGTCATCTATTAGCGATGCGTATCTCTAGATTTTGAACTGCCTTAGAATTAATTTTTATGTATCGAATCTATGTTGAATTTCTCTCTCGATACTCTGCAAAATATTTGTCCTTAGACACCTTTGTTCGAGCAAGTTAACATTAAAAATTTAATATTATCAATACGACACAAAGTGTTACAACAATTTGGTCGCATTGATATAATTCAATACAGTACATAGACATTTTGTCGTCGATTAAAGAAACCTTTCGATCAAATTTAAGAAATAAAGATTTGAAAAGTCACATGCTCTCTTCATCTTGATTGATGGTTCATTCTAGGTTTCTGTTACATGTGAAAATACTTAAAAAAGACGGAAAGTACCTTGTGTTTGTTGATAAAAAAGAATTTTGATCTGATCCAAAAAAAAAAGTTTTTACAATTTCTGCAAGATTTTAAAATCTCATTTCAAATATAATTTTAGTTTCAATATTCATCAGTGCTTATTTTGTATGTTTGAAATCAAACTAATTGAATACAAATAGTGAACTATACTATATTGAAAATGATACTAAATATGAACATTTTCGTTTTCTGCGACGAGTTTTTTTTCATTGATATCAATATCGCCGAATCAATTCAGAACCGAAAACAACTCTTAATTAAACCTGATTAGCTCTATATATAACATTTTATTATAATTAATTATTTAATTGATTATCAAATCGATTAGTTACCATCTCAATTGGTTACTAACTTGATTAAATTTGTCGTCTGATCGAGGATTTGGATGTAGATCTGAATGTGAATGGAAAGAAGAATCAGGTCTACATCCTAAGTCTCTTGCAAACTGAAATAGTAACCAATCTATTTGATAATAAACTCACTAATTATGATAAAATGTTATATATATATAGATCCAATCATATTTGGTCTCGATCCGTTTTAGCTTATGGATTTATTCCGCGATGTTAGAATGGACAAAAACATTGTCAGTGAAACTATAGTCGTATTTGAGAAGTTTCTTATCTCATTAAAATTGACCATTCAATAAAAAATCATTTGAACTGTTTTCGTTGTGTTAGAAACGATTATAAATATTATAGTTTGAAGTTGGAAATAAAAATGTAATCATTTAAAATATCTATACTCATTTTTATGGCAGTTGAACTAGATTTTTCAAAATTAATTTAAGAATTTGCTTAACCAGTGACAAAATACATATAAATTATTGTTAGATAACAGTAATTCAATGAATCGTCAGTGCAACAAATTGTTCAGTTAATGCAATATAGAAGAGGACGAAAAGTATTCACTACATGATTTCCATTTGAAAATACTGCAAATTCAAACAATATTTTTGAAGACTAGATGGTAAATTTTCTAAAAGACTCTTCAGGCTAGAAACATCTTCACATAAAGTTTTTTTTTTGATCATGCTTAGATTTTCGAAAAAAAGTGTTTTAACTCGTTGGTTAGCAACGTGAGAGAGTATGCATATAGAAACGAAGAATGTTCTTGTAACTGAATGGGAAGTTCAGAAATCAATTCTACATGATAAAAATTCTTCTGAGGAATCTCAATATTATAGGACAAAAGTTTCTGTTCCGAAACATTAGAAAATCCGTGTCTAGAAAGCATTGTTTGGAGTCAGATCTGGCTGGAAATTTCATCATAGATGTAATGTGTGACATGCAGTCTATTCTGAAATTCTTAGTTTTCTTCGGTCATAAGATAAGAAAATTATTCTCTTATTATATCTTCGTTAATTAACTGATTCACTAATTAGTTACAGTTTAGTGTGAGCTCAGCGAACTATCATATATTCATGGTATGAGAATATGTTCGGAAAAATAATCCTTGTAGCTAATCAACGTAAAATGAATGATGATTGTGCGCCGTTTTATCTGAAATTGTCCATAATGTAGAATGTGTACAAACTCAAGAAGAAGCAACTGTAGATGGCGTTTTGAAAAGAATAAAGTTTCTGGTACAAGCTCACTTTAATCATATTTATTAGTGTTCTCACCCTCATGCAATGTTCTGTGTATAATTATACCAATGAGCGTCAAACGTGTGATTGAAGTTTTATAATCAGTCAGTTACTGAATCAATAAATTCATTGACATATAAATACAGGGTGGCCCAAAAGTCATGTTACCCAAAAAAAATTAAATATCTTCCTTACGGCTCGAGCAAAGAAGCTGATTTTTTTATCAATGATAGAGGCATCCTCAGGCTTTATATCTATAAGAACAAGGTCAGGAAGAACCCATATTAAGTAGCACTAATGAACTCAACANGAAACTCCATGAAAATAGCATCAAAATGTTCATTTTAACTTGCTCTTTCAAATGATGTATGATTCAATAGGGTTATTCCGAACAATTCTTAATGGGCCGATTTGGCCTCTTATGCGCCCCCGTCCTTTAGTGGAATGCTTTTCTTAAATTGCTATATATATTATACTTATCTATTGACTCTTTGTTCATAAACATTCTCCTCATTGGAGAAGAAAAGATTGACCTGTCGTTGTTGAGCGAAGAAATATAATATTTTCGTATAGTCGAATATGTTCGCAGCCGAATGTTTATTTTTTTTTCGATTATTTATTTCTATGCTGATGTAATCGCTGCGACATCGTACACCATACATAAATAGAAAAACACATCCATCCAGAAAAAAAGACAAGCAAAAAAATGATCAGGTGTCAGATATCTGATTCTATTGTCTAGTAGTGATTATTTTTTTTAAATAGATCATAAAATGTCCTGGTACAATATCTTTTTGTTCCTATAAGAAAAAAGTTTTTCTGCAAACGTAAAAACAGAAATCCTTGACTTAATAAGACATTCATGGTTCTATAATGTACCGTACTCAGAGAACCATAAAGAATGTTGAGAATATTTGTGCTAGTATCGATGTAATGAGAAATAGTTCATCATGAAAGTCTTCGCAGAGAATACATCCTATTCCGCGATGTTAAACATTGCGGAACCAGTTCTGCCTCCGGAATCAGTTCCATCCAATTCCGGGAACTCGATCGTCACACAACATAAGCGGCCTACTTGACATTGATCGAGTTCCCTCAATTCTCGGAATTATGTCTCGTCCTCACCCTCATGCATGGTGATGTTTAAAGATTAATCGATTCAATCAATACCAAATTCCGAGAATTGACGGAACTCGATCAATATCAAGTAGGCCTGTTATGTTGCATGGCGATCGAGTTTCCAGAATTGAACCGAACTGGTTTCGTAATGTTCAATATTGCGGAATAGGATGATTGCTCTTCATCTGTTAGATTATTTTAAGAGAAAGATTTTTTTTTCTATACAAAATATATCTGCTTTTTCTTATTTAATAAGTAATTATTCATTATCATTAAAGAGAAAACTAAGAATGCATTTTCTTAATCATAGATTATTAGAAAAATGATTCTTATTGAATTTGTCAAGATTCTTTTAACGAACAAACACGTCAAATCAATTATCTAAACGTTGTAACAATTTCTGCAAAAGAAATAACCTTCAAGAACTTATTTTCCGAGATTTTTTAATAACACTTGGAATTTGTTTTATATCAAAATGGAAAGAAAATAGAAGAACTCTTTTTTACTAGACGTTCTTTTGGCACAATTAATAAAAATTAACATATAGATATCCATTCTCTATTTGATGGAAGAACTTTTTAGAAACTTCAAGAAGTTTTTTTTTCATAAAAAAAAAAGAATATTTTCAAATTTGTATTCAATTTCTAATTTTTATTTCTAACAATAGATAAATATTAATTTAATTTTTCGAATATAAAATCTAGTGAAACTATAACATTATTTCACATTATTTTCTTGATCTTTTTCTTCTATCTATTCGAATATCGAACCCTGGATCCATGTGTACGTTTGACGAGAAAAATACAAAATGGCTGAATTAACTAACAGAACGAAAAGAGAGAGATGTATTTAACGATATCGAAATGTGTTAATTCACTTGTTTATTCATATCTATTCACTGAATGTGATCTACATATTCGTTATTATTTTCTTTGTACAAGATTCAAAAGACACAAAAGTATTTAAACGTCATTGTTCAGCTTATATTTTATTTACTATTGAACAAAATGTAATCAAGTTAAAGAAACTTTCTCCCAATGAAATACTTTTGTTAAGCTAAATATTTAATTTTAGAGTGAAACTTCTGATTTATCTTCAACAAATATTAGTTTAGTTAGATATTTTTCAATTGAAGAAAATGCCAGCCAAGAAGGAAGAAATTATTGCTGATTCCAAAGATTATTTTGTTCAGGTAAATGAAATAATATTCAAATACATCAATTAAATTTTTCATTTTAGGTTAAAGCAACCGTAGAACAGTTATCAAACGATTATAAAAAAAAATTAAAGTGCGAAATGGAAAAAAATGATCTAGAAGCACAATTAATGAAGGCAATTGGATTAATTAATCCTTCGAACGGGATTAATGATCAAATTCACATGATCAATGGATCTATTATCGAATTAAACAGCAGTATCAATGATGCTTTAAAACTTCTTGATGCATTAAACTATGATTTTGGTGAGAAAGAAAAAAAATTATTTCTATTCTAATTTTTCCTTTTTTTAGAAAACAAAATGAAAAATTTTCAATAATTTTTTTTTCTTTTGTTTTTCATTATATTAAAAGAAAAGATTTTTTTAAATAAAAGAACATCATTTTAATGAAGCAAATGTTTTGTTTCATTAAATAAAAGAAGTCAACTTTTTAGTTTAAATAACTATATAAATAGTATTCTGTTTCGGCTTTTAAAAAATTTCAATAACCGTTAAAAGTATATAAATAGATCAAGAATCACTAACTGATTGTATCATGAGAATACCTGTGGCAGTGATGATCAACTAAAAAAGGATTGAAAATATTAATCTTGTTATGAAAACGATCTTATGTGTTTTTTGAAGATATCGATAAGATCTGCTTTCGATTTCTTTTTTAAAAAATATCAAGAAATAATTTTTCCATGAGTTAAATACAAATAAAAAGTTCCTTGTAATTGATTTATTATGTATATCATTAATGAATAGCTTAAATAAAAAATGTTTTCTTTGTTTTATTTTTGTATATTAGCTTAGCATAGACAAAAGAAGGCACAAAATGACAGAGTAAAGCGAACGTTAATTAAAGATAGAAATAATCTATATAAATATAATGAGGAAAAGAATAAATTGTTCTTTATTTTTATCGTGAAAGTTGTTGATTATTTTTGTCTAAACTACCATTAGACGATGTTGTTAAACCATTTGGTGATATTGTTTGATCAATAGATATGTGTGCTTGTGATTGTTATTGATAGTACTGTTGAGCGAATAAATTATGATAATAAGGTGCATAAGAAATATTTGGATCATAATTTGTTGGATTTGCACCATTTCCAATATAAGGAGGAATATATTGATTCCATGAAGATGTTGATTGAATATGACTAGATGATATAATTGATGATGGAGATGTTGTATATCCACCTCCATATATATTTCCAGTTGATTGTGATGATGATAAACCATAACGATGGTTGAAGATGATTTGAATAATTTGAATGAGGATATAGATTTTGCTGACCTATTCCATTTGGATAATATATAGATTGTTGAGGATTTTGTTGATAAACTGAAGATGAAGATGAAATTGAATTGCCTAATGTACCATACACACTATTATTGCTACTAGCCGATGATCAACCACTATTACTTGCTAAACAAATTAGATTTTTTCAATCAATCCAAATATATATTGCTGTCTGAACAAGAGTCCAACATAGGTCAATTTTCTCGTGATACAACCCGAGTCGGACTCTAGTTCGAATGTATCAAATACTCTTTAAAATAAGATGAAGCAAAACATTTGATTCTGAAGTTAGTGTTAAATTCCTAATGAATGGTGACATATTTTTTAATATGTCTATTTAATGAATTATCGAAAATTATAAATTTAATATTTTAGTTTGAAGATCAAAGTTATATATTGACTTGATCGTTCTATTCTGTCGAAGATTAAATGGCATCTAATAATGGGTGGGACAAATTGAATAGGTACGTTTCGTATCGTACTTTTTCACCATCTAATACGTTTTATTATAAAACAAAATAACCCATAAGACGCAGCGTGAAAAACTCTACAATTTACATAAGACTATTTATTTTATAGTTGCGCTTTTTCTTTTCAAAATGGATATAATTTCAACCGTTCGAAAACTAATTGCACTGAATTGAGCTTTTTTTTGAACAATTTCAATAAGCTTTACTTTGTAAGTTGTAGAGCTTTTCATACTGCATCTTGTGGGACATTTTGTTATATAATAAAACGTATTAGATGATGAAAGAAAACTCAGTCATTCAATTTTCCCCAGTCGTTATAATATGTTTGAATATGTATTACGTGTCGACCATTGTGGTATTGAATTCCTATTATTTTTATTTGGTCGAATATCACTATTTGCTGTACTCCAATAAGATCCTCCATTATTACCTCATTGACTCCATTGATCAATCTGAAAAATCTTTTTTCATAGACCATATTTCATCCAAATAATCTGTCTACCATAATTGTTATTATTATTTGTTTGTGTATAATAAGAATTTTGATTTGGATGAGCATTGATTATTGTTTGTGGTGCCATTGTAGAAGCTGATAATGATGAAATAATTGTATTATTATTTTTGCTATTATGATGATGATGATGATGTGGTAACGTATATTCTCCATATTGCTATTGTTGATGCTTTTGAATTTGTTGTTGTTCATGTGGACGTGGTTTAGCTGGTCGAACTTCTATTGATGCACCGTTTATTGAATGACGTTGTTGACGTAGTACTTCTTCAGCTGTTTTTTCAGATGAAAATGAAATAAAACCAAATGGACGACAAACACTTTTTTCACGATGCATTGGCTAAAAGAAAGATAAAAACTAATAGATAAATAAATATTTCATATACAAGTTCAGTTGTATCAATAATTCCAAATTGTGAAAAATAATCGGATAAATCTTGTTCAACAAAATCAACTGGCAATTGTTCAATAAAAATTTTTTTCACCGGATTTGTAACAGCTAAAAAACAAAACAAAAAATAAATGCAATCTATCGTGGTCGTCGATGTGCTGGTTTGGGATCAATTTGGCATGGATTAATTGAATGTGATTGAACACTAAGAACTTTTTCTATCGGTTCTTTATCATCAAATAAAATAAAAGCAAATCCACGTGCTCTACCACCGGACACATCATATTTTATTGTTACATCATCAACTGAACTAAATTTGGAAAAATATTTTTGAAGATCTTCTTTTGTTATATCCGATGATAATTATCCAACAAATAATTTTCTTTCATCATCTGATTTTGGGAACTTTTCCATCACGAATATATTTATTGTTTCTTTACAAATTTCATAATCATTATTATTATTAGATGATAATTCTTCTTTTTGATTATCTATATTATCATTTAATGAATCATTATTTATTTCAGATGATGTGAGTTGATCATCATTTGAACCCGTTTGACTATTTATCATTCTATTTAAATAATAAAATAAAATAATTTTCTTTTTTAAAATAAGATTCAAACTCACTTTTATACTATTTTATGAATTAATATACAAAACAATATTTTGATCGGACTTTTCTTTTTCTTTTCACTAATTTTGATCCATTCTCAACTATTGTTTTATATAAACCATCTAAAATGATAGTTTTTCATTTGTTTTTCACTAACAACCATCATTAAATAGAGAAAATAAGAAAGATTATACATAGAAAGAGATAGAGAGAACCCAATGAAAGAGCTATTGTACGCCGAGAAGAAAAAAGTAAATATACATGTCAAGAAAAAAAAAGATCGGAGTCATTCATAGATCAATTACTTTGGAAAGAGAACGACTTTGAATATCATCTGATGATGTTGATGATGAACCAGATGCTGAATTTGAACCATAAAGTATTGAATCATATTGTTGAACTTTAATAACACCAACACCACCACCTAATCGACGATAATTCATTCCACCATATCATTTACAACTATTAAATTCACTATCATATAATTCAACAGTTTTTAAATATGCCGCACCCTAAATTATAAATATTATTTACAAATAAAAAGGTTAGACACGATATACTTCGTTTAATCTTACGAGAGAACTTTCCGAAGTGCTGAAAAGCTTTTCAGCTGAAATTTTATCCACAAGTAGAGGATGTATAAACTAGAAAAAGTCTAAGAGCATGTGGGCGTAAGTTGATACTGACTTTTTACTAAAATTTTCCTACAGGACCCCATTTTTGCAATAATATCAAAGTTTCGAATTTTGATCTGAAACTTTGTCCATATCGAGGCCTTAATCAGTCTATCCCGCCTAGAAAGTCTCAGAATTTTTGGACAAATTACCTCAGAGATATGAATTTTCCAAAATATCCATGTATAACAGGATATATGGGCAAAATCATTTGTTAGCGACGTGACTTCGTAAAATTGCAACGCGTATATCTTGGAATAATGAACTTCCCAAGAGCTACTTTTTATATGTTATATGTAAGGTAAGTTACTCTAGATGCTCTGAAAAAATCAGCCCTCGAGGCCTTTGTTGAGAGGAGTTGTTACTACAAAACTAGCGTTAGCGACGTGACACAAAAAAGGACATCAATTTCCACTTCATGCATTTTAATTTAAAAAAACTTCGAACTAGTATAACATTTTTGAAAACTAAATGGTACATTCTGTAGACAACTCATAGGGGTGTAAAATCCCTACTCGAAGTTTTTTTGGAGTACGCATACATTTTCCAAAAAATTCGATTTACTTTTCGTTAGCGACGTGACTGAGTACGAATATGCAAACGAAAAAATGCTCTTATAATTAAATGAAAAGTTCAAAACAAATTTAAAATGGTCCGAATTCTTCCTCAGGATCTTGAGATGATAATAAGATAAAAGTTTTCTTTTCGGAGCTTGACAGGATCTTTAGAGGGCCGGTTTTTATGAGGAAAATTTTTGGAGTTCGATCTTGCTGAAAATTTTACCATAGACGTGGCTCGAGCCCTAGAGTCTATCCTGAAATTTTTAGATTTTTCCTTTATACGGTTGGAGAGATATTCACTAATTACTTCGTAATTAATTAACTAATTTTAATTAAGTAGCATCTGAAAGAGCCAACATTTTTACATATGTCTATGCTAAAAGAACTTATTCAGAAAAAACACTTGTGTCAAAAATCAAAGTCAAATGAAAGGGGGGTATGTCCTGTTTTGCCTGATTTTGCCCATATAGAGAAAAAGGCGTCTTCGCACTAATGTACTGGTATATTGAAGATAATTTGTCGAAACATTCTGAAACTTTGTAGACAGGATAGGCTGATTAAGACCTCGATATGGATGAAGTTTCATTTCAAAATTCGAAACTTTGATATTATTGAAAAAGTATGGCCCTGCAGGAAAACTATAGTAAGAAGTCAGTATCTCAACTAAATCGTAATTTTTCCGCTGAAAAGCTTTTTAGCATTTCAAAAGGTTCCTTCGTTAGACAAAAAAGTTTTCAACAACGTTTTTGATATTTAACATAAAAAGAGATTCATTAAGAGTCAAATTTGTTTATGCAAGAATTCGAATGCCTCACTATTAGTCAATGGTAAAGAAAAATGTTAGATAAATTATCTATAAGATTATGCACTTTGTATATATAGAGAAGAGAAAGGATACAATTGAAATAGAAATAACATATTCTATTTAACCAAAGAATAATAACTTACATCAAATTCACCAATAGACATTAAATTATTATTAACAACAGCTAAACTAACCTGTTTAAATAAAATAATTTCTAAAATAAAAAATATATTTTTTAATTTGAATACATATTCCACTTCGTCTTGAATTCATTGCGACTGTTGGTGACCCTTGATTTATTTTCGGATTATATCTCTCAGCTGTTGATAATTGAGTAGCATCATCTCAACCACCAACCGCATCTATTTTATTTTATTCAAAAATAAATAAAAAAATTCAATTAAGAAAAACAAAATGACATACAAATATATCTATTATAAACAGCACAACCAAGATGTTTTCGGCGTGTTGTCATCGATGCTACTGGTATCCATTTATTTGTTTTTCAATCATAACGTTCAACTAAAATAAATATCTTTAGTTAATCAAAATCAACATTTTTTTTATAATCCTATCCAAAAATTCATATTATCTGTTTTGTACTGAATAATGATTATCCGACCCTCATGTCATATACAATGAGATAGACATCGAAGTATTTCAGTTCTTAGCTAACGATGAAAGCGCTTACAGAACAAACCATCAGGACTCCTCAAATAAAAAAATCGTCAACAATTCCTAACGATAGTGTATTAGAAAAGAGGACTACATATTTAATACGATTTACAAAAATTCTCGGATTGAAACATGTATACGGATGATGACAGAAGGTCGACCAAGCAAACCACTTTCATCGTTTCTTCATAAGAGCTCTTCTACTTTTTTTTTCTATCAATCATGTCAATTTGTTTTTAACCGCAATCAGAGGCGGCGGAACGATTCTAGTCTAGGGGAGGCTCAAAACTTCATAGACGATAACGGAGGGGGGGTTTGAAGGTGATATAAAGGACGAGGGAGAATTTTCTAGTTTTCTAACTCTAACTTTTATTAAAGAGATACCGGGTGTTCCAACATGTTTTGAATATAGTTGAGTTTGCATATATCTCAGCACAGACAAATCATATGATCCTGAACTTTTTTCAAAAGATGTACTTCTGAATTTGAGAGTATCACGGGATTTATTTTTTTGGATTTACTGAATTCTTTTAAACCATAGAATTTATCTATATGATAGCATAGGACAAAATTTAACTACACCAAAAAATTCATGATTCGGAAGAGTAAGACTTGACCTTCAGCTAGTGCTCGTCCGAAATCTTGTCTGCTGTCAACCTCAGTCAGACAGTCGTCTTTGCATTAATTATTTTCATTTGACGATAAAATGAAGACCGGGATTTATAGAAAAATTCCAAAAAATGAATCCTAGCAGCTATTGCTGAATTCTCTAGGGTAACTGTATCACAAAGTCCCGTTGACTTGTTCTGATGAGCTTTTAGAAAGCTGAAAGAAAAGACGTATAAAATGTTGCTACTTTCCGCTGTATTGGAAAAAATAAAATTTTTTTTAATATATCTATTTCTCATTTATTTTCGCTCAAACAAATCATAGAACTTGAATTCTTTTAAAAAAACAAAATGTTTTCTTGACTTGTTCTAATCATTTTTAATAAGGACTAAAAGCAAACATGTACAAGACTCTCTAATTTTTCACTCTATTGAGTTGAATTTGCTTCTCTATTTAAACAATTAATCGCCTAAACTGTTCACTTTTGATTCTTTAAGACAATTTTCGAACACGAAACAGATCACTTTGATGTAGTGGCGTAACCAGGAAATCGTGGGTGGCCGGGCGGTGCCCCACAACTTTAAAAAATATTCTGTGACAGCAGTTAAAATTTTTTCTGAGGTTCAATTAAGTCTCTCAATTTTCGCTTTCCTAAAGCGAGAGATAAAACAATGTACAGTAAAACCTCTATTACTGAACACCCCTCCTTAATGATCAACCTGCCATACTGAACGCTCTCCGGTCCCCCCGAGCGATTTTTGCTGATTTTGACCCCCTCCTTAATGAAATCCTCGCGATTCTGAATGTGAACACTTTTTTATGGTCCCAACTGTATAATTTTCCTCTGTAATGTGAACGTTATAGAGGGCGCCGTTAAACTTTGAATTAACACAATGTATCTCATTGGCTAGTTTTGTGATTGGCTTAGAGAGAAATAGAGAAAAAAAAATCATTTTCAATCTCGTCTATACACAATTGAATTACGTCTTGTATGTTTATATGTTAATGTTAAATTATTAAATATGTCAACTCGTCATGAACTTTGTTTAGAACAAAAACTTAACCTTATAAAAGAGAAAGAAAATGGACTTTCTCATCGACTATTAAGTGAAAAATTAGAGAGTCTTGTACATGTTTGCTTTTAGTCCTTNGTAGATATTTTTTCGTCGAATTTAATAATAATTTCTTTATATAATATTGATCTATCTGATATTCAACATTACTTTTACTTTTATGTATTTAAGAAGAATAAGAAAAGAAGAATATATTCACTTAATGCACTAATGTTTAAGATAAAATAAGCGAAGATATTAGTTATATGGTGTTTTTCGCTTTAAATTAAAGTTAAATTTTCGATTTAATTTTAAGAGTTAAGCTCAATTAACAAACCGCATAAATTCAAAAAAAAACAAACAAACTGTGAAACAATATCGAGGAGAAGCCACTAATCAGTGTTTAAGTAAGACGGCAAGATTTCTCAGAGTTTTCCTACTTTTCAGCTTAGTTGAAACCATTACAGAAATCCTAAGTGGTTTTCTTTAAATAAATTTTTATTGAAAAATAAAACTAATGAATAAGACACCAATCATTTGCCTATCTGAAGAATGAATTTCTCTACTGGGATGTAATGTTTATTTCATAATTTAAAATTAAGATTTTCATGCAAAACTGAAAAGGCAAAATTCCACGATTTAAGATAATGACAGATAATTTTTTCTTGTCTTTATTTCATTTTTATTAATCATATCTTTCTTGATTTTAATTTTTGAAAAAAATAAATTCTTATTTTGTACACGCGTCCAAGGGCAATTTGTTTCTTTTTCACAATGACTCATCTGAACAGGTGAGTAGTATTTTGTTTCAATTGATTCAGATATAGGCAAGATGACGTTTGTATCGAATCGTATTTCAGAAAAATTAATGAAATTATTTCTATTTCAGATTGTGATTATTAGATAAACGTGACAAGATGTTTTTATCGGCACTTTTTTCATTAAAATCAATTGTTTCGTTATTTGTCCTATTGATTGCTTTTGGTATTGGATCATATCTGTATTTAACATTAGATACAGATTTTGAAGCTCAACCTCGTATATTTTCTCATTCAACTAGTTCAAATTTATTGAAAGCAAAATTTCCAATAGATGAAATTAATCAAATAATGAATACTGCTCGTCAGGCATGGTCTATTATTAACAATAAGTAAAAGATTTTAATTTTCAACGAAGAAAAAATTTTTTATTTCGAATTTTATTGTTTAGTCGAGCTGTTATTGATATTCAAACATCCTATGGTAATGGTATACCTGGTTATATAACTGATCCATTTGAACTTCAATCATGGTCATCACCACCGGCTTCTTATTCTTTTACTATTAATGTTAACAATCGTTTAAAACAACGTGTTCTTCAATTTACTTATACTCTTCAATTTACATATGGTGGTTCATTAGATGGGAAAGGTGCTTATTTAGATCGTGTCACAGTTATTCCATCACGTATATCAGTTGCATGGGGTTTTATATTTAATGCAAGTGTTCAAATAGCATCTGTACATAATGTTGGTACACGTGATGAACCAATTGCTGCTGCTCATGTTGAATTACATTATCGATTAGTAGGACTTAATGTAGTTGAAAGAACAGAATCATTTCATGTTAGAGGTGATGGACAATATGTACATTTAAATGCTTGACATTATACTATTGAGATTATTTAATAAAATATTGAAATAATTTATTTTATTTTATATTTTGTATATAAAATTCATTTGTTTAGATTTATTTTTTTGATAATTATTTTTCAAGATTTATCAATAAATTAAAGAAAATCTTGTTATTCAGTAATATATCAAACGATAAATTTATTAATTTTATCATTTATTAATGAAGATAACATTAAAAAAAGTTGAAAATGAACATTCACAATAAATTATCTGCAATATTTCATATAGAGATCATATTGAACATTAATATTATTAATAGAATTATCACCAGAAATATTGTGAAGAAAACGAAAATCATTATCATACATATTAAGTGAAAAAATTCCACCAAATTTTTTCACCTGGATGTGAACTAAAAAGCAAAAACATTAATCAGTCTTCACATAAGCAGAGTTTTCAACTTATGACAATTGAAAAAGTAAATTAGTAATAAAAAATCTTCAATGTCTTAGATTTGTTGACTTACATCCAACGAGAAAAATTCGACATATATTTGTGGTGATATTGCACAAGTTGAAGTTATGATGATTGAAGTTATGTCTTTATGTTTGATCTGATTGAATGTGTAACCTCACATGAGAATCTTTCCCCCATGTACTACATCACATGACTGGATGACTCTGACAAAATATATTTTGAATGTAGATAGTGTTGGATGAAACTATAATAACAGCAAATAATCATGAAAATGTAAAAATAGAAAATTAATCGCATTGTTAATGTTATACTTATATTAATCAAGAAATAGATGAAACAATTTTATTAAAATGTGCATGATATTGTGATTGATACGAATATAACTTCATTAATAACATTCAATCAACTTTATTTATAAGAATATGTTGATACTTTAATTACGAGTAATTTTCGAACATATCGGTATGTTTTTCTCATCACTTTAATACTCATATACAGAAACGTCTTGCTCATTGCGTTATTGATTTACTATATGTGGTACAGAACGTAAAAGAGATGTAGAACTCTATTCCGTCGTGCTAATTTTCGCTTAGATCAGAATTTAACACAATCAATTACTGAACACCATAAAACGTGGTTATTTTATGAAATTAACATTTTTAATTATATACTAACACAAAATAGACTGATCCATAGAAATTATATCTGAGAGTTGTCAACTTTCTGTGTCCATTTGATTTTATTGTAGTACTTGAAAATCTATTAATTATTTGCTCTATTCCAAGTGAAGCAATGTCATTTCGTTTTGTCAACAGAAATTTTTTCATTTTCATTGGTGAATTTGTTTTTTTAATTTTCTCACTAAATTATTTTAGTCTTTGATAAGACGCAATTTAATAAATTAGAACTTTGGATAAATAAATGACTAGAAAGTTGACGTCAATATTTCAATTCAAATATTGCTACAACAATATTTGAATTTGTATGTAATCGTCGAATAATTAAAAATCATTTATGCTTTTACTGTGACTATGATAAAGCAGACTGAGAAATAACAAAGTAATAATCTACATCAGAAAACGATATCCTTTTACAAGCAGAAGAATTATAAATTTGATTAATCTTTATGCCAATTGCTTGTTGACATTGGATGATTATTTAATAATTATTAGAAAAACAATTGAGAAAAGTTTTGTCATGGACTCAGTTGTTTATAATGCTTGAAGTACATCATGATCAGTTTTTTTAATATCATCATGTTTCTCTTTCTATTATAATATTTGATCTTGTTTTGTTAAATGCTATTTGTTATATTTCTACGTAAATCTTAATAAACAAATATTGATTATTATTAGTCCGTATTAATTATATTAGAACTTATTGATCAAACGATTAATTATTACATTGTGATCTCTATCAAAAGAAAAAAAAGCTTTGAACGAAATAGATGATCTTCTATCCGTCTGTCATTTTGTTTTTTAACTTTATTTTTCACAGTAAGATATAAAAATTTGAATACAAAATCTTTTCAACTTAAAATAGGTGAAATTAAAATTTGAGATTTAACATCAATATCATAATTACCACTGATTTTAGTAAATTATAATTGATTAATTTATTCTTTAAGATAAAATTCGTTGAACTGAAATTTATTAACATCAAAAGTCAATGTTTAAGTTATGTTTTCTTTCCTATATAAATTAGAATTCTCATTTGAATTCTTATTTTATGTTCGATTTTTCGTATTTGAATCTGTATTATTTTTCATGGATTTTATACGTTTATTTTATTACATAATCATATGATTATTATGCTAGTGACAATAAAATAGCATATACTGTTTTCAAACTCGATGAATCGAAAAGACAATTGAACCTGTTAATTATAAGAATTGAAAAATAATTATTTAGTCATTAATTAGATAAATTATCACTTTATTCAATGAGAATTTTGGATATTAACAAAAAATAACTTCAATGATATTTGATAATATATGAAAATATTCTTTTTTTAAGTGAGATGTAAATAATAAGTGTCACTGATAATACATTAAAGTATGAATACATTAAATGAATATATTCATCGTCTATCTTCATGGTATCAGTGCAATGGAAGAAATAACGTTCTTTTAGTTGTGAAGTTACTTTGATTTAAGACTAAACATTATATTTCGATGTTATCCCATGAAATTTTTATTTCTTTGATAACGAACAACATAACATTGAAAAAATTAATGATGTAAAAGAAAAAAAGAGATACAAAGTAATTGAAGATAATTTAATTAGGAAAAGTTAGATAAAAATTTAAAAAAATAGTAGATCAAATACGTGAGTTAAAACGGAGAATAAATGTTCATATATGACTTCTTTTTCTTGATGGATATTAACTGCGATTGTGATGAAATACGACGTTTGCCACTATATGTAGGGTGTGGGGTGTAAATGAATGAATTCCGCCTACGTATCCACATCCTGGATACATTACGTTATCTGATATTTTTTTAATATTTCTAAGTAATTTCAAGGCAATATCTATGATACATATATAAAAGAAATAATTCATTTTCATTTTGCATAATAATCTTATCAATAACCTATTACCGATATAATACTGCATTGTTTTTTTTCTTAAAGTATTTGAATATATTACAAATACCAATAATACGTATGTGTGTAAATATATATAGAATCAATAACTGATTTTATCATGATAATTTATTTGATAATTATGTTCTATTGATATAGATACAAAATATTAACTTTAACATTATAATCATCTATATTATAACTTAATATATTCGGAGATTATAATTAGAATTCCTATTAATACTAATTTGTTATTATTCTTTTCTAGATATTGATAAGATATGATCACGACTACAAGATCGAACAGTTATAAATAAGAATTTTTGATTGTAAAAATTCAGAATTACGTTTTCATAGTTTTTTTTTTTTATTATCATTTATTTAGTTTTGCCGGTATTGAGTGCAAAAAAATGTCAAAGTCCAGAATGTTCCTAGGTGATTCGAAAGATCTGGCATTTCGAACATGATTGTTTTAAATTATTCTAATGATTTTAGATTTTGTTTTTTAAAGAAACATTCCAATTTAATCTTGTCATTATTTGACAAATAAACTGAATAATACAGTACATAAATGTAAATTGTAATTGATTTGTTAATTGTTGCTACCTCTAGTTTCATCTTATATATATATATGATAATTAAATAACCTAAATAAAAAAAATGTTTTCTTTGTTTTTTTTTATGTTAGCTTAGCATAGACGAAAAAAGACACGAAAAGACAGAGTAAAGCGAACGTTAATTAAAGATAGAAATAAAGTACATAAATATAATGAAGAAACATGAATATATTTTTCTTTTATTTTTATCGAGAAAGTTGTTGATAATTTTTGTCTAAACCACCATTAGATGGTGTTGGAAAACCATTTGGTGAAATTGTTTGTTCCATAGGGATTTGTACTTGTGTTTGACTTACTGCTTGTTGTTGTGGATAGTACTGTTGAGCGAATAAATTAGCATAATAAGGAGCATAATACATATTTGGATCATAATTTGTTTGATTGCCGCCACCATTACCAAGATTAGCAGAAGCATATTGATTCCATGATGGAGATGAAGATTGTATATCATTAGGTTGTATTAATGATGATGACGATGGATATCCACTTCCGTAAATATTTCCAGTTGATTGTGACGATGATATACCATAAGATGATTGAAGATGATTTGAATAATTTGAATGAGGATATTGACCTTGTTGATTTATTCCATTTGGATTATACATTGTTTGACCTTGATTTTGTTGATAAACTGAAGATGAAGATGAAACTGAATTACCTAATGTACCATATACACTATTATTGCTATTAACTGATGATAAACCACCATTACGTCCTAAATAAAAAAAATTTTTTTTTTTCAATGAGTATAAATATATTTCTTCTTTATTAAAAGTTTATTTTTATTTTCAAAATAACCTTGAATAAAATAATATCGACATAACGACTGACAAGAAAAGAATGTCATATAAATATCTTGAAAACAATAGTCAAGAGCAGTACTTTGTAAAACAAAAACATTCAAAAGAACTTAAGGACACTCACATATTGTTCTAATAAAGTTTTAATTTTGATTGGTAGTCTATTAGAAGGATTTTTTAACTTACAGTGCTCGACACACGTCAAATATATATTCTACGTATGAGCTCAAACTTTGCTTCAGTGTCCTACATGGGCTAAATTTTTGTGATTCAACTCAACCCGAGATAAACTTATTTTTTTGTGCCACAAGCTAAACTGATGTCGGACACTTTTCTTTTTCTCTTCAAAAAATCAACTTCTCGGTCCTCCTTTTTTTTCTTTCATTTCACAACTGGCAACAAAGTATATGTCCTTAACTTGTTTTCATTCCTGACATTTCTCCTATATTCCGCAGTTGGGATAACACATTTATGTGATAAAATGTTTTCTTATTTGTTTTTCATGGTCTACGTATAAAAGCTGTGACTTTTATGCCACTGTAGAATAGTCAGTGCTCTCGCAACCCATCATTTTCCAAGGTCAATAAAAAAAAACATCGGTGGTATAGAAGAAAACGTCATACAATACATAACTTCTTGTTTTACTACATTTTTCCACGTTCTCTTATAGAACTTTTAAATGAAAAAACATTTCAAGTGCCTTTTTTTTATCGGCATCATGTTCAGACTGCAGATTCATCCCGAAGTTTAAAAATATTTCGTAGCCCAAGCTGACTCTACCCGATGTGGACTATTTTTTTGTGGCTTGATCCGACCCGAGTCACACTCTGCTTTGTTCACACATAGAAAACATGACTAGAAGGAAAGTTATGAGATGAAACGATCGTAAGTAGTGATTTGGATGAGATATTGACTTTTCAGTGGAATTCGTCGAGTTGGTCTCGGATCCAAATCTGAAATTTTTCTTTTAACTAACTCAGAAAAAGTTGGACAAGACGAACTTTACTTTTTGGTACAAACTGGTTGACATGGAAGCTTCCAATTTTTCAATGAAGTAAAACTTTTGAATTGTGACGTAAAAATTTGTTCAAAAGAAAGTTGTGGCAATTTGTAAATATTTTAGTCTAATTTATATTTAATTTGTAAGTAATCGATTTGAAGGTTTTGTTTTATTGAAAAATTGGAATATTGAATGTAATTAATTCGTACAAAAAAGTCATGATTTAATAAAAATGATTATTTGTATCCGTAGCTTTTGTTAGGCTCAAGATGTCTTCTGAAAAGTTCTAACTGGAGTATTTTGCTCAATCTAAGATGACTAAAGTAAAATAAAAATATTACCTGTCGACCATTGTGGTATTGAATTGTTATTATTATTATTATTTCTAATATCACTATTAGCTGTACTCCAATAAGGTACACCATTATTAGCCCCTTGACTCCATTGATCAACCTAAAAAAAAAAAGAAAATCTTATATATATATATATATAGCATAAGATGAATGTATTTACTTGTCCAGCATAATTATTATTATTTGTTGCATGTGTATAATAAGAATTTTGATTAGCATGAACATTCATAATTGGTTGATGAGTCATTGTTGGAGCTGATATTGATGAAATTAATGAATTATGATGATGAGGTAAAATATATTCTCCATATTGATATTGTTGTTGCATTTGTAATTGTTGTTGTTCATGTGGACGTGGTTTAGCTGGTCGAACTTCAATTGATGCACCATTTACTGAATGACGTTGTTGACGTAAAACTTCTTCAGCAGTTTTTTCAGATGAAAATGAAACAAAGCCGAACGGACGACGAACACTTTTTTCACGATCCATTGGCTAAAAGATAAAATTAAGCAAAAACAAAGAAAGAAAGAATCTTTTTTTTTTTTCTAAGATTTACAAGTTCAATTGTATCAATAATTCCAAATTGTGAAAAATAATCTGATAAATCTTGTTCAACAAAATCAGTTGGTAATTGTCCAATAAAAATCTTTTTCACCGGATTTGTAACAGCTGAAAAAAAAAAACCTAAATAGTTCTTTTAATAGAAAATAAATAAAAAAATCTAACGTGGTCGTCGATGTGCTGGTTTTGGATCAATTTGCGATTGATTAATTGTATGTGATTGAACATTAAGAACTTTTTGTATTGATTCTTTATCATCAAATAAAATGAAAGCAAAACCACGTGCTCTTCCACCGGGTACATCATATTTAATTGTCACATCTTCAATTAAACCAAATTTGGAAAAATATTTTTGAAGATCTTCTTTTGTTATATCCGATGATAATTGTCCAACAAATAATTTTCTTTCATCATCTGGTTTTGGAACTTTTCCATCACGAATTATTTTCATTGTTTCGTTCGAATTATCATTATCATTATCATTAGATAAATATTCTTCCTTTTGATTATCTATATTATGATTTGATGTATCATTATTTATTTCAGATGATGATTGTTGATCATCATTTGAAGTTAGTTGACTATTTATCATTCTAATTAAATTATTTTATTGGATTTTTTTTCATTTAAATAAAAACATCAACTTACTTTCGTCAAGAATTGATATAACAAAACAAGATAATTTTTTTTTTTTCAAAAATTTTGATCCATTCTCAAATTATTGTTTCATATAAATCATCTAAAATGATAGCTTTGTTTTATAAAGTTGTTTTCATTAATAACCATCATTAAATAGAGAAAGAGATTATACAGAGGCAAGATAGAACTCGATGAAAGAAACTATTTTACACCGAGAAGAAAAAAAAGTAAATATACATGTCAAAAAAAAAAAAATCGGAGACATTCAAAGATCAACTAATTTTGAGAGAGAACGATTTTTACTATCATCTGGAGAGGTAGATGATGAACCAGAAGCGAAATTCGTTCCATAAAGTATTGAATCATATTGTTGAACTTTAATGACACCAACACCACCGCCTAATCGACGATAATTCATTCCACCATGTAATTTCCAACTATTTGATTCACTATCGTATAATTCAACACTTTTTAAATATGATGCACCCTAAAGAGATATGTTTAATATAAATAATTTTAGTAATGTTACTCTCAATGAACAATAATACAAATCAAAGGACTTGTATAGATTTATTTGCTTGCTATTGAAAAGTTTTGTTCTAACAGTCATCAATAACTTTGAGATCATGCGTATAGAAGAAGCATGTCTTACCCATCTAAAATCTCGTTGTGAATTAAAATAATAATTCAATCTCATGTACAGAACTGTCAAAATTCACTTATTATTAAGATAAATCTAAAACATAAACTTTTCGATTCAATTTCGCAGTAAGTTAAATAATATCAGGAAATAGCAGTATATCAAAATAGAAAATATCTAGGTGGACTATGAGAGATTTAAATACACTGAAAAAAATAAATCCAAATGTTAAAAGGGCAGACATATCTGAAAAAGTTTCAACGATGTTCAAAAAATATTCAAACTGGAGTCTAAATCTATGCTTTCAGAATCACTTGTAAAAATTGTATAACGAACAAACTATCCCAAATGTCATTCATCGTTTAATCTCATATTGCATTCACAAGAAGAGGATCTCGGTAAGATTAATAAAATCATTTTTGATCCAGTTTTACGTATTTACTAAAAAATCAAATAAAAGAATTTCGACCACGAAATTTTAACTCATACATAGACCTAATGACTATTAGAATATTAGTAAAATGGCCATAACTCAGTTCTAGAGGTCTATAAGTATGAATCCTAAAAGGATTTTTCTAGTCTTACTAAGACTTTCTTGTAGGCTCAATATAAGTTCAAGCGGCAAGTTATAGTTCGATTAGTTCTCTTGTATGTATTCGACATTGTTCAAATCAATTGAACCATATATGAATTCAACCGCTGAATCAAAAACGCAAACTTGAACCTATTGATATAATATTGTAAACTTGAGTTTAGCTTCGGTTGATGCCTTGCTGTGACGCTAACTTAACTATTTACTATTATTTATTGTTCAAGTTTTCGATGCAATGATATCGTAGTCCTAGGGAAAAGGAGAACAAAATTAATCATCAGATAAGTATCACATTTTCATAGTACATGCTGAATAGCACAGAATCGCTAACAATTCACAGATAATTAGACGAATGATTAATTGAATCAATCAATGTAAGATTAACTGTAATAAGTATATTTATATTTTAGAAAACCAATAACTTACGTCAAATCCACCGATAGCCATTAAATTATTATTAACAACAGCTAAACCAACCTATTTAGAAAAGAATTATTTATATAATTAAATATATTGTTAAATTGAATTCGTACTCCACTTCGCCTTGAATTCATTGCTACAACAGGTGACCATTGATTTGATTTTGGATTATATCTTTCAGCTGTTGAGAGTTCTGTCGCATCATCTCGGCCGCCAACTGCATCTATACAATTATATTTATTAAATAAAACTAAACTAAATTAAGAAAAATAATCCATACAGATAAATCCATTATAAACAGCACAACCAAGATGTTTTCGACGTGTTGTCATTGATGCTACTGGTGACCATTTATTTGTTTTTGAATCATAACGTTCAACTTAAAAAACCAATCGATATATCAATATTCTATTCAAAAACTTTTGAGTAAAGAAAAATTTGATTTACAAAAACTTAAGCCTTCCTTCTTCCTTAAAAAAGTTTATATTCGTCAGAATTATCGACATTAAGATAAATGTATGAGAAGATAACCCTATGTCTGACCTTTCATAAACGATATCATTTTTTATTTGCCACCGCATTTTGTTTTTCAAAAATGTTCGATGATTTCTGTCATCACCTACTTCAAATACAGGGTGACCCAAAAGTAGTCGGGCAGTCTTTGATTGTAAATAATTTTTGATAAGAACAAGATAGGGAGGTGGGATTTTCACCGTTCGAAAGAAGACATGAAGACGCATAGAACTGTATGATATAAGATAATTTGACTTAGTTTTTTTAAGGACTTTAACCAACGTTTTTGAAAACCATCGTAGTCCATAAGGTGACTATATTGAATTTTTTATGATTAGCTATGCATTCGATCTGCTAATCGAAAACTTGCAAAGTTGTTCAAAACTCAGTCTTTGAGAGTTACTCCTTCAGCAGTTATAGATATTCAACTAGAAATTCTGAGACGATTTTTCTATTAATCTCTGTAAAAAAAAAATCACTTTTGTGCGTTTCTTTACATTTTATATGAAACCCTTTTCCCGACAATTTTTTAAGGAAAATAATTACGAAACTCTAGAAAACATCTTAGAAAAATCTATAATACAATACAAGATTCAATGCGTTTTCATCTTCTCTTTTGAACGGTGAAAACCGATGCTCTCTATCTCATTCCTATGAAAAGTTATTCGCAATCAAAGATTGCTCGGCTACTTTTGGGCCACCCTGTATATGTTATTTTCAGAAAAATCAAAAAAACTTTTTCGTTTTTTCTCTTGTTATGTTTTTCTGATTGTGCGTCCCATAATTCTCAAAGGAGTTTCACTATAGCCAATCATTTTCTTTTTGCTTCAAAGAGCATGTCAAGATGCAAGACATGATAATTTTGTTTTTTAAATTAAGTTTTGTTACTATTATTTAGAAGAGTACTTTTACAATTAGAACGTCATTTTTTGAGAGTTTTTTGGAGATAGTGAACTCTTCATCCATTTTCTATCCTTAAAAAATCGTAATTTAAGAAAATGGGTCTGATATGCTCAGCATCATAACATACTCTTTCAAAAAAAAAAAAAATCAGAATCTACAATGAAGATCCACAGGGAAGCTTGGGTTGTCAAGTGAGCTATTTTCATCTCTTACTGATTGAATATCACCCAAATACGTCATGGTATAGGACTAAAAATTTCATGCGATTTGAATGTACCTAAGCCAAGATCGATTTTTGAGCGATATATGATCTAAAGCAGAATTTTCGTTTTTTTTCGAAGTATTAGTTTTCATCTGCTATGTATAAACTTACAAAAATCACAACGTAGTTATTTGTTATCAATTGTATATTATAAAATGAAGATGTATTTGGTGAGCTTTTCAAACAAATATTGGATTAAAATATGTGTACAAAGAGCAACAAAAAATCCACCTAGAAAATGGTTTTCATTGGATCTGTTTATCAGTTTTGAATTTATTTTTCTATGTTTCCATTTCTGTCTTTCACAAAAGTTTCCTTTTCTATTATGGTTAATTATGTTTGTCATATTAGGTAATCGTTCGTCTTAGATTTTTTCGTTGAAATAGTTAAAAAGAAACAGTATAGTTTACCTGTATTAAGCGGAGATTGTCCATCTGATCCTCCAATGGCATAAAGATATCCATCAAGTACAGCAACAGCTACACCTAATCGTTTAGTACCCATTGATGTTATACGACTCCATCGTTGAGTAGATGGATCATATCTTAATACAAATAAAAAGAAAAAAAGAGTAATGACATTTTATTTAAAAAATATTTACTTTTCTACAAGATTTAAACATGAAATTCCATCTTGTCCACCAACAGCAAAAAGACATCCATCAAGTACTGCAACACCAACACTTGTTCGACATGAACTTGTTGGTGCTACATCATTACTCCATTGATTCGTTTGAGGATCAAATCTAACCAAAATAATCTAATTTATAAATACTCTTCTTTTTTCTTTTACCGTTCAACACTGTTCAAATAACTAACACCATCATGACCACCAACAGCATATAAAAGATTATTAAGTACAGCAACTCCAACTCCACATCTTCGTTTTGACATTGGTGATACTGCTCGCCATTCATTCGTTGTTGGATCAAACATTTCAACACTTGCTATTGCATCACCAGAACACCAACCACCAACTATTTTTTAGACATAAAACAAAAAAGAAATATTTTTTCGAAGAAAAAAACACTGTTTAAAATAAAATAACAAACCTGCGAAAAGAACTTCAGATGATTTAATTGGTTTTCTTCGTCTTGTTCTTGGTCCTTGCATATTTAATCGTTCTTGTGGTAATAATAAATAATCTTTAGCTTCATCAACTAAATCTCGACATGTTTGATCGGATCTAATTAATGAATCTGAACTAACTGTATTAACAAGAAATCGAGCACTCATCAATGGAAATCGAACATGTTCTAATATCTAAATAAATTTTCCATTTATTCTATTTAATAAAAATTTAAAAAAAAAAAAAAAAAAAGAAAAAGGAAAAACTTACTTTAGGTAAATATTGTTTTCTTTGTTGAACATCACATGAAACCCATTGCATAACAGCATTAAAAACATCTTCTTCACTTGTCATATTTAATTCATCACTTGATATAATATCAATCAATTGATTTATTGGTAAAAATAAAAATTCTTCACTTTCTTTAACATCAATAAAATGTTGTTGTGTATAACGATCAGCAATGCGCAAAAGTTCTCGACATGAATGTGTATCAGCAAATGCTCGAATACCTAANCCATTGCATAACAGCATTAAAAACATCTTCTTCACTTGTCATATTTAATTCATCACTTGATATAATATCAATCAATTGATTTATTGGTAAAAATAAAAATTCTTCACTTTCTTTAACATCAATAAAATGTTGTTGTGTATAACGATCAGCAATGCGCAAAAGTTCTCGACATGAATGTGTATCAGCAAATGCTCGAATACCTAAACAATTTGTTGGATCAAGTTGTTTTTGAAGAAATTCACAACATGTTATTTGAACTTCTTCAATCTAAATCAAATTAAAATATTTTCAAAAAAAAAAATGCTTTTTATAACATATTCAACAAGACAAAACTTAGTTGTTTTTCTGCATCTTTATATTTCGTGTTTCATGGATGAAGAAACAAAACAAGATATAATTGACTTTAGAGTCCGTTAAAGTTAGTTTATGTATGTATAAGTACTTGTCAACTACTGTCAATCAACTATTTAAAAAACAGTATTGGTATATTGTTAGTCTAGATATAAGATAAGATTTAATATACTTAATTATATTTAATTGAATTATTTTTATCTCTATCCATCTTATTTAGAAGAAAATAAAATAAAAGTATTGTTTTATATGCGTCTGATTATTTAAATAAATACAATAAGATGAGCCAGTTGAATTCATTCTAGATTCACATTCAATGAGCTCAATTAAAAGTACGAGTTCTATATAGAGATGTGCAACGGGACCAAAAAACATTTTCTGGTTCCGGTCAAAGATTTTCATACAGTTTCATCCACTTCATTTTAAAATCATTGCTTCACTGCGTATTTTGTAGAGAAATGTTTTCTGTTTCTGTCTCTATATTTTAAAATATCTTAGGTGTCTTCATTATCGATTGATCTAGCAAATACATTGATCAGGACCAGATTGGCCACGGTCATTGTGTTTTCTAAATTAATCGATAATGAAGATACCTAAGACATTTTAAAACAGAGAGACCGAAAGAGCAAAAATTTCTCTACAACATACGCAGTGAAACAATGATTTTAAAATGAAGTGGATGAAACTGTATGAAAATCTTTGACCGGAACCAGAAAATGTTTTTTGGTCCCGTGCACATCTCTAGGTAGTTCAGATTTAATGAATGTTTCAATAATGGATATCGTAGTTATCTCATAATGGGACTTGTTTTTGAGGCTGAAAATCTCTTGTATAATTTCAATTGATCATCTTTTAGCTTTGTGAGATATCTTCATTCTTTAAGTTAAAGAATTGTTTATATTTCTGTTCGCTCAATAGAAATAGATATCGTTTCATTTTCCAAACTGTCTATAAATCCCATAACAGAAAGAAGCTAAACAGAATACATTCAAGAATGTCCATTTCAGATTCACTAGTTTCTGCATAGCTGTCTTCCATTAATGCCCATGAGTGTATATTTTTTGGCTTATAAAAGAAACTCGATTGTTCATTGATAAAAAAAAGCATGTAGAACCCGTAGAATTAGATATACCAAAAAAATCTTACAGTTATACAGCGTAAAAGAATGAACTAATCTATTCACTGATTTTCATTATTATTATATACTCGTTCGAACAAGGTGGGCTTCTATTCTGTGAAGGCATTTAGTGATTAACGCATCTTTACAATTACAGAGGAAAGAATTTCAATTTAACGTTTTAGCTTTTTTTTCGGTTTTTAGCAAAACTTCTTTCATTTCGATGTTCTACGTCTTTTGATATCGACTTAATTATGGAACAAGAATGTACGAAATAGTTTCTATAGAAATTTTCTAGGCATTAAAATTTTTTATTGACAGTATATAATTGTTTACAATGCAAGAATCAAATTGGTACAATATATCGAGTATTACTACTCAACAGATATAAACTAAAAATAATATGTAAATATGTAAGTTATGAATATTTTAAAATCTTAGGTTATTCTACAATTTCATTATTAAAATGTTGACATTTTCGAAAAAGATAAAGTTTTTCTTTCCAGAAAATATTATTTCAAAAAACAATGTAAAATAAATATTTTTTGATTATAATAAATTTTCTTACTTGAAGAATACAAGCTGCTGGTAATAACATTTGAACATTTTTTTCATCAACAACAATTCTTGAAGTATAACAATATTCAATTAACAATTCCATGGCATATTCATCAATATCACGAATAATTATTTCTGTTTGTCGACTTTCAGCTAATTCACCAGTAAACATTGCTTTAAAATAAGAACTACATGCTAAAGAAAAGAAATAAATTTTATTTGAAATTAAATCAATCTCTGTACCAGAAAGAACAGCTCGATGAGCAGGAATTTTATTTTGACCAACAATCAAAATGACATCACATAATTCTTTTTGTTTTCTTAACAAATTTAAATTTTCTAATAAAAATTTCGCATGTTTATCCGATGTTTTAACAAGTTTATTATTACAACAATCTTTAAGCATATCAATTGTTGTACTACTACTGATTTCATTTTGATTATTTCGATTTGTTGAATTATGTTGAATTGTACTAGAAACATAAAAGAATTTTAATATTTTTCAATTATGTACTTAAATAAACAAACCAAGTTTTGCCTGTTAATGAAGGCGAATGTGTTGTGTCCATTCTCTCCATTCAATTTATTTTAAGAATACTGTGACAATTAAATAAATGTTCATTTTCTTTTTTCATTGAAAAATAAAAAGCCTCCTGTGACTAACAGACAAACAACAAACAATTTGCGATACGGATGATAATCGTTATATTCAGTGGTAATGGCCGATCTAATCGATTGTAGCGACACTTTTTAAATATATTTAATTAGTATAAGAATAAAATTTACTTTTTATGAAAATTTCTTCTTTTGAAAAATTCAATTGAATTGGTTATTGAAAAAATAATATGAAATGAGTACAAGGTTTTATTGAACAATTTGATTGGTCCATTTTGTCAATTCCAACAAATGTTCTTTCATTTGAGACTATACCATATAGTTTGTTTTCTTTTTCTTTTGGTTCGATCTAAAACTAAAAAAGTTGTATTTAAATATCTGTTATAGACTTTATTTAGCAAAAATCTATGCTCTCATCATTCTAAAATCAAGATAAAAGAATGAAGAATCGGGAACAAGTGAAAATCCATATAAGAATCTTGAAAAATTGTTTATTTTCCAAAAAAATGAATTATTAAGCTTGGTTCTTTTTAAATTAAAAAAATTTAGTTGATGAAATAGACTTGTACATTTAATGAAACTCTTGTAAATGTACGAAAATGTGGTCAAATTTTAACATAAATTATAAGATTGATCAATTAAGAATAAATAAATATCATTTTTTCTTTGACTAAAGAATTATTTCACCCTGTGATTTGCAGTTAGAAATGGTAAAAAAAAAGAATATTTTCTGTAAATGATAAAGAGTGAATTATTTTGGGAAAACTTGTTCCATATTGTTTAGATTGAATTTTTTATTTTTGAAATAAACAGATTTAAATATTTTTATTTTAGGAGAAAACAGTTAAGTCAAACGAGAGCAACAGAAATATTTTTTGCTATGATGAAATTATTTCAATCAAAGAGTTTAAGTTTGTTTAAAACGATACAAATTATGATTGCAGTAAGATGTCAGAAAATGCACTTTTATTTCAAAGAATGTTACACGAATGTATGATCAGTCAATTTNATGGTTAGTTCTTAGCATAAGTAATAGATAAAAATGTTTCAAGGTAAAATGGCCATGGTACACGTGGGCCGTTATAGATCCCTATTGAATTTTAAATTTCATTGACTATGAATGTTTAACTTTATTTTGCAGCCTAAGAATAATCATATTTATCAGACTAAACAATAACTCACTTGATTTTCGTACTGTCCCTATGATCGCTAATAGAATCATGAACCAGTTAGACTATTCATCTAGTCTTTACGTTCAGTAATCTCTAGATGAATTGGCATTGCCTATCGAACATGTCTACTTTTGAAAGTAAAAACCGGTACTACTTCTTTGGAAACTTTTCAACTACTGATCTTGTCAGTGAATACAGCAGCTTTTTTCTGTTAAACAAAAACCAGTGGTTTGCGCCGTCAGTGCCTCTAACTATCTTCATCTAACAGTGAATTATCAACGATTATCTTCTTCCACGCAGCTAAAATGCCCAATATTTACGGAAAACCTGTCTACGATAAAAACTCGAAATCAATTTTATTATCAGATTTTAATCAATTATTTATATTTTTTCAGAAAGCAAAGTTACTGTAAAAATAAATCCATCAATATAGACTTTCGTCGTTACATATACCTGGTGGTAATTTCGTTAAACACAATCAATTATAATTGATTAAAATAATTTAATCAGTTTTCATCAATTAATTTTTTTTTACAAGAGAACTAGCATGAAAGAGATTCTGATCAAACTTTATAGAAAATCGCTCCATTTAAAAGAAAAACGATTGCTTCTGTCAAGAAATCTCTATTTTACCTTTGATTTTTTCAAAATAAACTTCAAAGAGTGGTTATTTCAACTTTGCTTTTAAATTCACACTTAAGTTAATCACACATTCACATTAACTTTAGAGTATTAAGTGTAAATGAGATCCTTGAGCGCAATCGATTACAAATTAACAAAATTATTCTAATCAATTAAAAGTGATTGAAAATCTGTAATGATATTTGATGAGATTCAGGTTTTTTATCGATTTTTGAGAATGATAATTGATTATGAAAAAAAATCTGATTTAAGTCCAAATATAATCAATTTTAATTCATTGAAAAATATTATTTTGTCAATTGATTATCGAAAAAAATCGATCTAACGTGTCTCTAATCAAAAGTAATCATGATTTTCGCATAAGTATTTTTCACTCGGGAGCTATATATGAATTATTTAAGATAGATGAAAGATAAAAATTTTTTTTGTTACATTGAATAGTGTAATCGAATTTGAGAAAACACTCAAATTTAAGTATTGTTATATTCCGTTTGTTTTAGACACAAAAGCGCCAATGAAATAGTTAATACATTTATTTAGTTTGTGCATATCACTTTTGTTCGACTTCATATATAGAGAAAAGCACAATAAATATAATTCACACTATGTATATTGACACATAATTCAAACACCAGCAAGTTCTTTGAGGAATGCTGGTTCAAAATAAGCAAAATCAAAATCTTCCACATCCTCTAAAATATTGACAATAAATTGATTAAATTTCTTTTGACGGAAATTATTATTCAATAGATCAAAAATTATGTTAGACATGCATCACTACATTGACTTTATAATTGAAACCAATTCGATAATAAATGAAGTCTAAAAAGAAATATTAAATAATCATCAACCGAAAAAAAAATCGAACACATACTTGCAAGTTAAACAGTACCAATTTTGAAAGCAATCATCTTCATCAAATGTAGCTTGAGTTTTTTCAATTGAGCGAACACTATTAATATAACAAATAATGCTCTTTTCCATTTTAGTACGTTGCCATCATGAATGACATCGATTATATTCGTCACATACTCTAACTAAATAGACCTGAAAAAATATCAATATATATATAAAGTTAAAACCAAAATGCACACTTAAAAAGTCCCAGACATATCGTTTTCTTTCACCACTAAAAGTGGAACATTACCAATTTTTTTTGTTTTACATCATAGAAAAGAGTCTTTCCTAATGCATTGACAACATCATATTTACCACATAAGACTGATGTTATCAGTTCTCTCTAAATAATTTTTTTAATCAAGTGTTTTTTTTTAATTAGAAAATCTTTATTTAATTCATCTTTTCTCCGGTTCATCAAAATATTTGAATATTTGATTAATTTATCGACCTAACAACACCTAGACATCATCAACTTGTTGACTTGATTGAGTTTCTATATATTAAAGAAAATCAAACTACGTTTTATCGATTAAAAGAAAAAGATATATAGGTAAATCGGTAGCAGCGGTAGTGCTGGGATGTGAATAAACAAAAAAAAAACAACAGAAAAATCATTATTTCATGCAATTCTTATGACGATGAAAATTTTTCGAAAAACAACTTAAGACAAAATCTGGTGAAAAACGTTTACATGACATTAATACTGCTATGAATCAAAATCGAAAATATTGAACAATGTCTTACTATGATCATTGACACGTCGTAAAACGAGGTGATCGGGATGGTACTGAAGCCAATCGATTTGTTTGAGATCCACCACTAATTAAACTTGTTGTCATTAATTGAGATGATGATCCAAAATCGAACAATCCATTATTGTTATCTACAAGCATTTCAAATGAACTCGACAAATCAACAAGAAAGAAGTCGCTTCAAACAATCATCATGAACACTTTTACTCAACCATCTTCCACAAGGAAACCTTTTATTTTCAAAGAATAACAATAAAATATAAAAAGAGATCAAAATAACACAAAACCGGCTGACATTGTTAGTTAATTGGTTTCGAACAAGAACATGATCAATATTTCATCGAGGCATTAACCCATTATTCTCATGATCTATTCGAAGTGTTGTTAATTGACTCAAACTTTTACGCTACAAAAAAACATTCATCTCTTTATATTTCATATAAATGAAAAATTTTACTTTAAATTTAATTTTAAGTGCAGTTTTTGATGGTTAGCAGTTGTTATACTAGAGATTCTTGTAGATCGCGCCCTGATACGAAAAATAATAACATAAAATATAACATAAATATCTGCATAAGAATTTGAAAAACATTTATAATCAAGTAATTGAAGAGATTCAACATGAGCTAAAAATTGTTTTCGTAGACCTCGATCATCTGCAGGTAGAAAAGCTTCACGTTTATATAAGGATTGTAATAGATCACTATGAAAGAATAGTTCAGATAAATGACTAGATGAAAGACGACGTTCAAGAGTCAAACGAACAAATGCACATAGAAAACCTATTTCAGATGCTGAAAAAAACACTGGATTATGTCCAAAACATAATTCAATCGAATGAAAATCATGAGTTAGAGATCCAGTAGATAAATTATCTTTTATCATTTTATCAGATGACAAAAGATTTCATGTTGAACTTGTCATTACTCATAGAGGTGAGAAATGTGCTTGATGTTGACTCCTTTTGAGGACGTGGAAGCGTATGAGAACCTAAAATAAAACAAAAAGAAAAAATTGTTCACGCAAAAAAAGACGAATATTTCTTGGAGATTCGTTATTAAGGATGTCTATTATTTTTTGAACATTCTTATTTTCTATATGAATTATTCGTCATCATAATCTTTCACTTCTATTAAATCTCTATGCTATTTTAGCGCATCATTATTATAGAAGTTTTGTATGAACATTTTAGAAGGTATTTAAGTGTACAATGGAAAAGAAAATAATAATCAAAAAATGATCATTTATTTTGTTAAAGTCTTCTCGTTTCCGACGATAATAAAAAGTGACTCGTTGGAAAACTTTAAACTTTCATGAAAGATAGATCTTAATGTATAGAACGAAATTTGTTATGAAATCAAAATATTTCAACGATTGATTCTAGGAATATAATAATCATAAGTGGCGAAAGTGATCCTTCCTTTTCGCACATTTTTTAGACAAAATGTTAATAGACAATATTTAGGACAGCTAAATTTTAGTCTTTTCGTTTGGATTAGAAAACCCAAAATACAGAGCGCTCTCTAAAAAATGAATGTTGTTTTTTCTTGGATAAAATCTGTTGTTGTAAAACCTACCAAAAACTGGCAATGTACTATTTTTTGAATAAAAAGATGCAGGTATCCTAAACAATACATAGTACTTGCGAGAAAAAAAGATTTTATCTCAATTGAATACATTGTGCCAAAGACAATGGAGTGACTCGAGATTTTTTTTCGGGAAAAAAGAAACTTGAGAAAATTACGAAATAATCGAAAGATTTTGCTGTCTTTCTAGAGCAAGTATTTCGTTTTCTCGAAAATGTTGACTTTAAAAGTTATTTTTTTAAATTTATACAATATGCTTAGTGAACATAGGACACCTCGAGCCATCTGTAAAACAGAATAAAACTCAAAACTTTGAGTTAGAAAAGTACGAAAATGTTCTTAAATAGCTTTTAGTCTGAATATAAAATCATCCAAAAGAAATAATATCCTTAATGGATAAATTATTACGATGACCACTAGGACATTGTGATCAACTACTCGATCTACTACGATTTGTCGATTTACTAATTGCTTTCGCAATAAACATCAGACGAAAGCTATTAAAAAACTTATGTTCATTGAAAAACTGTTTTTAGATCTTTTTTAAAATAATATCTTATAATCTAACATAGATTTTCATCTTTATTAAGTGTTACTGGAAGACCAGCATGAGAAATTTGTCCTAATTCATAATTTTTAAGTTTAACATAACATTTTTAATATGATTCCATCAAGCAGAGTTTCCACTTGGTTTATAATGAAGACCATGAGACCAAATGCGTTCAGGTAAATCACAAAAACCTACAATAAAAACGTTTTCTTCGAAATGAACCATTGATCATGAATCAGCTTTTTTTTTATGATGATGAATCTTCAACAATATTTTTCATTTTTTCAATCACCATTCGTATTGTCTGAAGAAATAAAATAAAAATTATCTTTTTTTTTCGTAGTATATTTTTGTGTTTGTTCTACCTTAGTAGTACATTCTTCAAGTAATTGTTTAAAAACAACATTATTTTCAATAAGAACAACATGTTGTTGACGTTCATCAGTAGCAACTGCTGTTTTTTGTTTTTCTTTAATCATGTAACACGTCGTGTTGAATGTTTTGTTTCAGTTGATCAGGTTAAATAAGAATCTATTTTAACAAGTCCACTAGATAAAAATGAAGATATGCTTTAAGAGATTCGAACTATATGATAACTTCTGGATCTTTTAGACAGATCTCAAACTTGATAGATGATGCATTTAAGGAAAGTATGCTTGAATCGTAAGAAAGTGTCATATTAAAGAGATATTGGTTCAATGCCTTTAAATCAGAAAATCTGAGATGATGCTTTCTCCATTCCTCGTGTTGTAATGAATGATAAACAAAAGCATACAATGCTTAACAGGCAAATACTTATAAGTCGTGATAGATGAATGTTACAAAATCATGGAAGGCCAACGTTTATGCTGTCTTATATGCAGTAAGGACAAAAATTACTCGTACCAATCAGAGACCGAAACAAACAAGAAAATCTCTATTTGAATTCGATTTGGTTCGGCTAAAACTGTAACAAAAAAAAGGTACTGTTATCCCCGCGTACTGTTCTATTACACCTTAATGTTCTATTTCAACAAAAACACCTGTGTGTCTATATCCACAGTAAATTTATAATTATGGAGAAGCTTAAGAATTCAAGCTCCAGTTCAAAAACCATACTTAATGGCTCACTTTCTTTCTCCTACCGGCAGCAATCACCTTACAAGAATTGGGAAATCTTTTAGTTGTGATAAATAATGATTTCAAACAAGAAACCATTAAACTTATTAATTCTTGTAAAAAAATTATACCTTATTAAAGAAAATCAACAAAAACAATGCACATATATTTTCTATATAACCTGTTGTGAGTTATCAGATGAAAAGGTTTCAAATGGTTGTTCTTTTGATCTTAATATTAGTATATATGAAATGTGACAGATTACAATTGAAGTTGCTACAATACAAAATCTCAAGAGTTATATGAATTTCAAAATGTATTCCTTCTTGGATTCCAATGAAAATACCTGCTAATCTGCGTTTCTCTTCATTACAAAAAAGATGGTCAATCTGTATCTTTCTATACAATTATTAATAATACCAGCTCACACGTCTGGTGAGTAGCCAGTGAATTTCATAAAAACATTGAAAGTCATATGAAAGTTATAGAATTTCAATTATGAGATGTTAATCAAATTATATCATCATTTGATTGTCCTAATTGCAGATCACGATGATACAACAAACTTTAGTATGTTTGATTGAACTAAGACGCATCCATTTTAAGATCAAGGTCATGTAAAAGTCCTCTTTTTTTATCTTGTTCTCCGCACACAACACAGAGCAAATAATATTCAATGTGATCAACTTTATGAAACGCCAAAAGGAGTGGTTATTTGATTGTGTTGTAAAGTCTTGCATCGGATTTTTCGCTGGATAGGAGTAAATACAAAATAAACATATTACTTTTAGAGAAAACTCTTTTTTTTGTGTGTGGGTTTGATAGTGAAGTCTTTCAGCTTCCTAATAATGTACCTTGTTTGAAGAAAAAAAATTGAAACTATGTCTCGATTTTTTCCGATTGTTGTTTTACACAGAATTGTAAGAGTACAATGTTTTTATCATAAAAACGACATTGTAAAAAGAATTTGGGCATTGTTATAAAGCTTTTATTTGTTGCTCACTCAAACTTGATGCAGAACTTTCTTTCATTGAACAATGTTAATGATTGTATCAAATCTATTTTTGATATTTCAATGACATCAGTTGAAAGACTAAAGAGAAATAAGAAAGTAGGAAAAAAATGCGATGATTCAGGCTACTCTTCGACTTTAAAATCCATGTATCAGATCAGTGTCATCAACGATTTCTACTGCATTGAATACTACTCGAATTTCTGTTCTCCATGGCAAATCGTCATGAGAAATAATTGAGAACTTGACGATGGAACTTGTCTGAAATCTTATCAGACA